CCTATATTATTTACAATCCTCCCGTTGTTTGACCTCTCAGTAAAATGTGATCCATTAGCAGTAGATCAGTTCTTTATCTTTCAAACATTCTTTTCTGTGCTTTCACAATCTCCTCGGCCTAGAAAAATCTCACAAAGACTGGTAGTACAGAGCCTAATTCCTGGAGTATATGGAGGCCTGGGGTGTAGTGGGGTGAGAATGGTGGCTCATGAAGAGGATTGAGCTGTCCACCTGTCCTTTCTTCCTCCTTCATTCTCCTTAATTGGAACTGGTTTCAGCTATCACATTCAAAGGGTAGGAGGAATCCCAGAGACTCAGGAGGCTGAGGCAGGAGGACTGTAAGTTCGAAATCAGCCTCAGCAACTTAGAAAGACCCTACCTAAAAATAACATATAAAAAGGGGGACTTACCTCACTGGTATAGCGCCCTTTGGTTCAATCTCTAGTGCAAAACAAATACCAAAAAAGAAAGGTAGGGGGAGGCCAGGCATGGTGGCACATGCCAGTAATCCCAGCATTCAGGAGGATGAGGCAGGARGAACACAAGTGTAAGGTCAGCCTTGGCAACTCAGTGAGAGTCTGTTTCAAAAGGAAAAGGGCTGGGGATGTAGCTTAACGGTAGTTGGCCCCTCATGTAGGAAGCACAGCTGTGGGCTAATACAGGTGGAAAGAGCACACTAGAGCTGCACTACTGCTAGAAATGCAGGAGTAGACGCCAGGCTCCTCTTGGAACTACAGATATAGAAAGGGGGAAAGCTATAATAAATCCGGGGTGCTGGGGTAGAATATGAGGAATCAATTTCAACTAAATGTAGACATATTCATTGCCCTGTACACTAAAAGAGCTAGAAGAAACAACTGAAGAAATCAGCACACACAGTACTCAGGTCTTGGTTCTTTTTTGTTTTTTTGTACCTGGGATTGAACCCAAGGGTGCTTAACTACTGAGCCACATCCCCAGCCCTTTTTATTTTTTATTTTAAGACAGGGTCTTGTTAGGTTGCTTACAGTCTTGCTAAGTTGCTGAGGTTGGCTTTAAACCTGAAATYTTCCTGCCTCAGCTTCTTGAGCCCTGGAATTATAGGAATGTACCACCACACCCGGCAGATCTTGGTTTTTAAATACAATTCTCTACTGAAAGCACCCAGACTCTTAGAAAAATGGCTAAGTCCAGAAACAGAGCAGGAAAAATATAAGATGATCCTGGCAAAGATTTTGTTTTAATCAAAGCAAAAGAATTGCAAATAATGATAAAAATATATCCAAAAGACATGAGCACTATCCTGAAAGTATTGGATGTATTTTTCTCTGAGGGTTACACTCTTGTTCAATCTGTCATTTATTTCATTCAAGTTGTCTTACACAGGGAATGACCGTTTGATTGGGCAAAAGGGGAAGAGGGGAGGGAACATAGGGGCAGGAAAGATGGTGGAGTGAGATGGACACCATTACCCTAGGTACATGTATGACTGCACATATGGTGTGACGCTACGTTGTGTACAACCAGAGAAATGAAAAGTTGTGCTGCGATTGTATATAGTGAATCAAAATGCATTCTGCTGTCATATATACGTAATTAGAATAAATAATTTTTTAAAATCAGCAAAATATGTGCCTGAGATAATTCAATGAGACAAGTACAGCAACATTTCTGAGGTACTCTTGACAAAAAGGTACAAATCACAAGGAGACATCAGAAAACCCAAACTGAGGGACATTCTACAAAGTAAATGGCCTGTATTTTTTTAAAAAAATAAAAAGGTCATGAAAGACAAGGAAGGACTATACCAGACTAAAGGAGACTAAGGAAACATGATAACTAAATGTTATATGTGACTCTGGATTAGATCCTGGAGCGACGAGGGTCAATACTGGAAATCAAGTCAAATGAAGGAAATGTGAATGCAGTTGATGAATTAGATGGAAGCATTAAATCAGTGTTAACTTCTTGATTGGTGGTTATAGTGTGGTTGTTTGGGAGTACCCTGCAATTAAAAATACATGCTTAGGGTTGGGGATGTGGCTTAGTGGTAGAGTTCTTGCCTAGCATGAGCCCTAGGTTCAATCCTTACACTACAACACACACACACACACACACACACACACACACACACACACTCTTATTAAATATGGAGGAATGAAGCAACATGTCTGCAACTTATTCTTATGGTTCCAAATATTAAAAATTGAGCAATCTAAGTGAAAAGTATATAAAGCTGAAAATGCTATTTCTATAACTTACATAAATTTGAAGTTATTTTAAAGCTAAAAAATTTAAAACACAACAGTAAAATATAGCCTATTAAATAAATTTGAGTCCACATTAAATAAACTCAAGAAGCAAAGTAAAAAACAGAAAAGGATGGAGTTAAAAGTATCATAATAATAATTGATTCAAGTAAGATTTATCCAGATGCTAGGTGAAAGTCTGATGAGGAACTATTTACATGATTTCAAAGTTATCTTCCTTCAACCTGCTTTTTTAATTACAAAGGGAAATAACTGCAGTAGAGAAACTTGGAAGACACCGCCTTAATCAAGTGATTCAAGTTAATGCTAATAGTGGGACAAATGGCATCATTCATCTTTTGATATGACAGTACAAACAGGACATATCGATTTTATGGTATTCATATTAAAAAATGCACAGATAGATCTAATCATAAGGAATACTACACAAACTGACTAGYCCCAGCTTTGTAAAATTATCTATGTCGCAAAAACAAAAAAGCTTGAGAAATTCTGCCAGATTAAAGACTAAAGAGATGTGACAATTAAATGCAACATGTGAATAGGAACTGGATTGCAGGGGGAAAAGATGGCTACAAAGTACATTACGGGAACAAATTGGCAAAGTTTGAATATGTAGTATATTAGATAATATTCAATGTCCTGAATTTGTTAATTGTTCTGTGGTTATACAAGAGACTCTTTATATATTCATACAGCATTTAATTTATATTTAGTTTACATTACTTAAGAGATTATGCTAAAGTATATGGAAGTAAAGAATCTTATCTGCAATTTAGTCTCAAAGGGTACAGTAAACAGTGTGTATTTCATAAGTACARAGATTAGTAAGTCTAGGTAATGGATATTGAGTATCTATTATTCTTGAAACTCTTCTATAAATTTTAAACTATTTCAAAAGAAGCATTTCTTAAAATGAGATAAAAAGAGCTTATCTCTGGGTCTTGGAATCTCAACTCATTTTCATTCTCTTTTTAAACATATTTGCATTTAAAAATTTTTTTTTTACAATACAAATGTAACATTTTCAAAACCATAACAAACACTATTTTTATTTTAGAAAGAAAACTGATTTCCTGCAATACAATATGATCTAAAAGTATTTCTTCAAATAGTAGTTTCACAGTTCATTACACCACTTTGATGTTCAGATGTATTCTGTGAAAGTTAAACATTAAATTGCCACTTGACAGATTGGCTGGGTCTGAATTTCATCATGAATTCATGGAACCAACACAGAGTCAACTTTTCTTCAGTGTTRGGTTACGACATATTTTCAGAACTGGAGACCTTTAGTTTTTTGTTTTACATAAACTTAAATCAAGATGTCACAGATGCTGCTGGTATTTTTTTTAATCTTATCTTGATTTTCTTCACCATCTCCACTCTTAATTTCAGTTTGGAATCTGGCTATACTGGACTCCACAGAGACTCTGCCTCTACTGAGGCAATTTTTGCTTGGACTGGTTCTTCAGACCCTGAAGTTCTCCTTATGGCAAGGTTATATGACAGCAAGCATCTCCCTGGCTTCCATTCAGTAAAATAAAAATCTGTCATTTTCATCGGACTATTGATTGCCAGAAAGTCTTACAACCTTTCCTATAATTCCATATTTGACTGAGTAGAGATGAAAGAATACAAATAATCTCTTTAAAGAACGGATCTAGCTCATGTCTAAAGCCATAACACCTTGAACACATCCTATCAGCTGATTTTGGAAGCTAAGCAGGGTCAGGCCTGGTTAATACTTAGAAGAGAGAATTAATCTAGCCCAATTCCTGCCTACCTGCTTGCCTATCTTTTTTTTCTTTTTCTTTTCTTTCTTTTTTAGTTGTAGATGGTCACAATACCTTTATTTTGTTTATTTTTATGTGGTTCCAGGATTGACCCTAGTGCCTCACGCATGCTAGGCAAGTGCTCTACCACTGAGCCATAACCCCCCCACCCCMACACACACATACACATCTATTTAGATACCAGGTCTCTTATGTTGCTCAGAGTGGTCAAAAAGTCCTGTGTTCAAGTGTTGCTTTTGCCTCAGCCTACAGAATAGTTGGAACTTCAAGTCTGAGCCACTGCACCCTACCAATATTTCATTTTGAAGAACATTAACTAGTGTTTTGGTTGCTTTATCAAAATGAATTTATCTTCTTTCTTCCAAATACAATTTGGAGTTGCAATTTACAAAAAATATGAACTTAGCATTCATATTTTACCTAAGTTTCAAACTGTTAAAAACCTCTCAAATAAGTAAAAGATAAATCTTAAAGTTAGTACAATAAACTTGTTAGATAAGCCTCCAAATAAATCTTTGAGTTGCCTCCCCTTGTCCTCCAACTGATTTTCTTCTTTAAGGGATCAACTAATCCCTCATTCAGAACTCTATATGCCTTATATTGCCTTTTAACAAAATCAATTAGCCCCTCCCAACCTGTACTGATATTTTAACTCCTCTGGAAGGATCTCAATTGCACACCGGCCTCTACAAACATTCAACTGTTCTCTGGTATCCAATACCCAAAGTAACCAAGGAGTAGTTTACAATTTTAATATGTTTCAGAAATGGGAGCTGAAAAATGATAAATTCAGGATGATATAGGAAAATTCTGGGACTTTTGAAAACACAGAAGATTAGATCTTACCACTTGTCTGTAAAATATTACTAGCAATACTTTTTAATACAATTTCCTCCTCTTAAGACACAAAACCTTTCACCCCCGTTTAAGTACTTTTACTAATAATGGTACTTACCCAGTATCTCCCAATCCATGAAGGAAAATAACCTAAAGAGGAGGAGGAAAAAAGTAAGCAATGCTTAAATCAAGGAGCCCACACACAACTGTAGCTTTGGTTAAGGTGAAAAACTGAATGAAGGTTCTTAAAACGTTAAGACAGAATTCCAGAACACTGTGTAGAATTAATATTATAGACCTCTTTTTAAATGGCAAAACAGCAATCACCTTTTCTACTTTTGGTTCCTAAGATAGTTAACGTGGGGTTTTAGCACTTAGAAGTCCCAGTTAGACATTTTGGAGTGCAAATTATCACATTCCAAGGAAAACAGTTTGTCTCGGTCAAGTAAAACCATGGAGGTCTCATACACTGTAGAATTTTTCCATCAAAAAAAGGAGTTTCCGGGGGGCAAATATAAGTTTGCAATTCTTAGGAAACAAGTTCCCTTWAAAAAAAAATCAAGACCTCTTATCTTTTAAGACACTAAAGCTTAAACTTCTGTCCCTTGGGACAGGGGTGCGAGGTAGGACAATACAGCAACGTGCTGGCGGACTTGCCCTCCTCCACACACCGAGTGCAAGCGTGCTGGAGAGGCACCGGCGCGCGTCGCTTCACGCCGGAGCCAGGCAACCGGGGTCCCGGGGCCGCGCTCCTTCTGCAATGCAGAGGCCAGGGGTCAGGGCCGCTCTCCCGGCCAGCTGCGACCCCAGCGGTGTCCCCTCACGGCCCCGGCCGGGACGCACCACCACCCGCATCCCTCCCGGGCGTCCCCCGACCTGGTCGCCCCCGGCCTGCAACGACCCACGCCGCGAGGGGGGACAGACGCCGGGGACGGGCCCTGTGGGCCCCTCCGAGCCCCGGCCGCCGTCACTCACCGCGGCGGTGGCCTTCCGGGCAGCAGGAACGACGGAGGGCAATGGGGCAGACATGTTATTGCCGCACATCCACCSGCTCGCTGGACCGCGCGTCGGAAGCGGAAAGCAGAGCGGGCTCCCGGCCGCGGCCCAAGGGCGTGCGAGCGGCGAGTCCCGGCCCGCGAGTCCGGGCCCGCCCTACCGGGCGCGCGCTCAGGCGCGTGCGCGCCAACGCGGCGCCGCGCCGGCCACCGCGGCTCCTCCGGCTCTCTGGGCTGCCCCGCCCCTCCTCCAGGCCCTCCCGCCGGCCCTCCCCGCGTCACAATGTCCAGGCTTTCCCCGCCCGAGCCTGAGCGCCGCCCGCGCTGACCTCCGCGGGTCTCCATTCCTACCTCTGGTCGCGGTCCCCTGAGCCMGCGCGTGCCCGGTGCGGCGGCGTCGGGGCGGACCCGGGGGAGGCCCAGGCCGGCTGCCGGTCCCTGGAGCCGGGCTCCGTCCTCTGCACCAGCCCCAAACCTTATTGCACCCGACCCTGGGTGCTCCTCCTTTGTCTCCGAAGGCCAGGGTTCGCCCATTTGTAAAAGTAAAAGGGAAGGACTGAGGGCACCCCGCTGGGCTGTGGCTGTGTCCCCATTTGGGTTTGCACCCGTGTGCAGTTTGGGGGTTGACTCCAGCTTGAGTTGGAACAGAAGCCTTTCAGTTGTCACTCAGAAGCCACAACTTCCCTAAACCTGTCCACACTGCTTACAGACGGTCAGATTGCCAAGTGCTACAGATTGAAGCAGAAGTCTAACTGGTCCCTTCCCTGCACTGTTGGGCTGTCTAAAATGTAGTTTATTCAACAACTTTATTGCGTTTTTAATTTATTGCATATGTGGTATGATCTGGTAGGATCCAAGAGATAGTCAAAAAGCTGTGAGCAGCAGGGTGTGGTGGCACATGCCCGTAAATCTCAGGTAGGCTGAGGCAGGAGGATGGCAATTTCATTTTTCAATATCCGACCATCAGTAAGTAGTGTGATCTCATTTACATGAAATATCTAGAATAGAAAATTTCTTGGAGACAGAAAGTAGATTAAATGATATTAAGGCTTAAGGGATGGGAGAATAAAGAGAGATTCCTTAAAGTTTATAGAGTTTTTGTTTAGGGTAATGAAAAAGTTTTGGAAATAGATTCTGGTGAACGTTGGACAACATTTTTTTCATGCAATTAATGCTATTGAATTTTATACTTAAAAATGTTTAAAAGGCAAATATTACATAGTATACACAACCACAAATTTTTAAAGTTAATATTATAATGTGTTAGTCATCTTTTCTTTGTTTATTACATACCTAAAAAAACCCACTTAGGAAAGGGAAGATTTATTTTGGCTTATGGTTTCAAAGTTTTAAGTCCAGGATTGGTTGGCTCCAAGATAGAAACATCATGGCGGAAAGTTGTTGCAAAGGAAAGCTGCTCATCTCATGGCATCTATGAAGCAGAGAGTCAGAGAAGAAGGGATTAGGGAAAAGATAGTCTTAAGGGTATGTCCCCCAAGGACCAGTTCCTTCAACTAAGTTCTATCTTCTTCCCTTTTCATCGCCTCCAAATAGTCCATTCAGATTATGAATTCATAGATGGATGAAAATGAAGCTAATGCCCTCATGATCAAATCACTTCTCCAAAGCCTACCTCTGAATACTGCTGCACTGGAGACCAAGTCTTCAACACATGAGCCTTTGGGGGGGGACATTCCAGATCTGAACCATAACATGTAATATACCCAAACTACTGAACTGTACACTTAAAAAAAWTTTTTTTTAGTTGTAGTCAGACACAATACCTTTATTTTATTTATTTTTATGTGGTGCTGAGGATCGAACCCAGCGCCTTGCACTGCTGGGCGAGCGCTGTACCGCTGAACCRTAACCCAGCCCTCATCTGTACATTTTTTTAAAAGAAAACTTTTTTCTTTTTTCACTAGGTGCGGTGGTACATACTTATAATCCCAGTGGCTGAGGAGGCTGAGGCAGGAGGATCGAGAGTTCAAAGCCAGCCTCAGCAACATAGCCAGACCTTGTCTCTA